TTCGCCAGATCTTAAAACTTAGAACAAAGGGGAATTAAGAAATTATGTGCGCAAAATTTTGAACTATGATTACAAAACTACACAGTTGAGCGTGGTATTTTAAATAAGGTTCATTTACCTAAATTGCGAGTTCAAGTTCATTAGCTGTTTGCTGATTGTTTACTCATATAATACCTTGGCAATTTTGCAACCAATTCTTTATTGTCTGTATCTCTGCCGTATATGATGTTAACTTAATGAATTCACCTCGTCTGAAGTTATGGTCTGTTATTTAAGAAAATTTAAGGCGCCATCTAAAAAAATAAACTTGAAACACTTTATTAATATGGCGGAAGGTGGGTTTTCTGGAATTTTGTGTCGGTAAGTAAATGCTAATTTTTTGCGTTTCTGTTTCTTACAGTCATGTATAAGATACATTTGTAATATTTTATAAGTAAGATAAAGTTTGTAGTAATGTTTGTAGTAATGTACATTTAAAATATATATAATTGTTTTTAGAAATAGGCCTAAACCTCGTAGTCGTAAACTCGTAACGTTATTCGTTGTTGCAGATTTAGATATTACGACTACAAGTGATTAATACTATTATTAATATTAGTAATAGTACAGTTTGTTACATAGCCTGTTTTTGATAGACTGTCTAATCAGAGTGGTATGATTTAATTTGTAATATTAACATAATGATAATTAACTGTGACTAGTAATAGTATGAGTACCGTAGCTTTGAATAAAACCCCTATAAATATGACTCGAGCGCTTTCTGGTAGTTTGCTAAACATTATTACAATGTAAGTTAACAAAATTTAATTTAAAAAAAATTTCACTCATATAGTAGAGACATTAGTATTACTGTTAGTACTGATAGTGATATGATAATGTACAACTTACAAGATACTTTTACGTTTTGTACTGCGTTAGTGCATAATAAAAATGTGAAAATGTTTCTTGTACCACAATCTGTGCCAAAATTGCAGAAGAATGCTGTTTTATAACAAAAAGAGACAACAAATTCTTATCTTTTGCCTTATAACTCAATATAAATAATAGTTATAGGTTATGTCTCTTTTTTTTTTTGCTTTAAAAGTTTAAGTTTAAGAATGTTTTCTTCAAGTTTTGCCATCTAGTTTGTCATTAGCCAGAAATAGTGTTCCATATTTCCAGTTTACAGCCAACTTTGTACTTCATTTCACAAGCCATTTCATCTAGATTTTGAGATGTATCAGGCACAGAATCTACAACGATAGAGAAGTGTTTTGCATCTCTGAATTCTTTGAGTATGGTTCATTTTACTTCTGCAGCCATCAAGTGAATGAATTCATTGCAAGTTCTTGAAGAAAGACAAGACTGTCAACATTTCCATATCTTGCAGCATGTATCAAATTTAGCAATTAATTTTAACAATGTCATAAAACTGCCATTTTGAGGATATCTAAACCATTCTTATTTTGCTCTGAAAGTGAGCCACCGTGAAGAAATTTTTTAAACACAGTAGCAACTCTTTTAAAATATCTCTCCAATAATCAATATTCTTTTAATATGATCTGGGACATGAGATTGAATTCCAATGTTTTGGGCTCATTTCACACATTTTTGTGTTCAGAAGGATTTTCTTGGGAACCTAGAGAACTGTTTTATTTTTTCCAGTCTGTGTAGCCTTCCTGTGACAAAAGAGAAGTACCTCCAAACAGTTGGTATGGAGCACAGAAAACAGCTTCTGAGTTAGGTGAATAAACAAGGTAATTTCTATTCCTTGTTTGTCCATTTAGCAATTACCAGAAAAATGTACTTCTGGTTAATATATGTTCTATCAGTATGTTTTTTTGTGGAACTTGAAAAATTTTAATCTACCACCGATGAAAATATTCGTATATCATTACCTTCATTCACTTCATTTTATGATTAGTTATCATAAGTTCCTGTTGTTAGTGTAAGTTTAGCCCACCAAATACATAATGGATGAAAGTTAGGGCAACCATGGTCTATATCCCAGTTTTGTAATTTGAACTCTTTCATAGTCAATTCTAGTAAAAGTGTCAGTTTTACTATTGATGCTTGTTTAAGTGGTTGGCATTCATACACCCAAACACTGATATAGGCTTACATGACCTCTTTCTTAGTTGCTTTTCATAGCCTCTTTTCAGATGTTTGGAAATTGCATCTTTCAAGTTGTTTGGCTTACATATTATAAATTTAGGAAGTGGATCAAAAGAGGCAAGAATTTCCATCAAGCAGTTTGTGTATGAAAGAGATAAACATATCAATTGTGGGCATAGTCACATGAGAGGGGAAAACTTAAGAAGAAAGAAGATGCCCTTTCCAAAACACAGCCTCAGAAGAAACAGATTTTCTGTTACAGTTTTGGGATGTTAACTTTGTCATGTCGAGATACTACAGCACCAGTTTCCTGGGTCATGCTGCATCTGTCAATTTGCTGGACTCATTTTATGATTCTCTAGGAAATTTGGGCTTTTAAAACCTCGTTCAAATGTCCATGTTAGTTAGAGCCTATATGAAAAATTGGATACTAGTCTTGCCAAAGATCACAATGATTGTGTCTTGAGCACAGGCTCTTGTGGCATTCATATCTTTCACAACAGTTTCAAAGCAGGATTAAAGGCTTCAAGTTGGGATATTAGTCACTTTCTATTTTATCTGCATATCCTCTTCCATGATACACCATCTTGCAGAGCTGATTTCAGTAACGTTACAACTGGTTATCCAGGAAGTGGGACTTTATCCAAAGCCTTTTTATAGTCCCTGATGTATTGAGAATGTCATTGTTGCTCAAAAGGCATTAGATATGCTTTCAGCACTTGAGTGTTATATAGCAACAGTTGAAACAGAGAGAATTAAACCCCCAAACACAAAATCATTTGAAACAGCTAGACTAGCTTGTTAAAATATACTACTACGTGCCAAACTTGCTTGTTATATTTCCGTTGCCAAACCCTTAGAACATTTCCTTGATAGGGGAATATTTCCATTTTTATCACAAGATCAAGAAAAACTTATCAGAACCTTGTTAGAGAAGATTTGTAAACCAGACGTTGCGAAGGGAACAAATACAGTTCTGAAGTTGCTTGCTGTAAATGTAGAAGACCCTGCCAATCATCTCGAAGCAAGAAAAATTGATACTGGCTTTGTTGCAGTCAATTTTGTGAAGGATCTTTTTAATACTACAAACAAAACATATGGTATCAGTGAACGCCAAGCTCTCAAACTCAGATTACAGTGTGAACAGTTTCTTCTTTAATTGGTTTAGGATATGCTGGAAAAAGCTCCAATTAAGTATAAATTGGTTTGTACTCAATCTTGTATCAATCCCCAACTTCTAAGCAGCAACTGTATGCAACCAGGTTTAAGTTTGTTCTACAGTGTTTAAAAGCTGCCCACAGAGCGAATGCTGAAGATGCTGATGACATTGTGCAGCAGTTTAGAGAGTTTGCAGAATTACATGATTCCAGTGAGTCTTTTTAATTGTAATGTAAAAGAAGATAGTCTGGACACCAGTATTGTACGCCTCGAGACCAACCTTCGGAAGGTCTCAGTCTTAATGTTTTACAGGTTTTGAAAACTAGACCGGCTATATTTAAAAGTTTTAAAAGTATCAGACCAGTCATCTACCTAAGATTATTAAGTGCTAAATATTGATTACACAACAGCTCATACAACTGTTGTTTTTCACTTAAGAAAGAAGGGATGTGTGTATCTGCCCATATGAATGATACACCTGTTAAAATGTCTTAAGGACCTTTGTATTATTCATAAAATAGATGAGCATTTACCTACTGTTAAGTACATCACTATTTATATAAATCTACATATATGAAGACACACATCCCTATATGCACGTCGTGATATACATAAATGTAAGCCATTGTATGGATTGCATTGCAAAAGTCATAAATTTAATGTACCACTCAAGGAAGAATTATAAGATTGAAAAATGATAGAAAATAACTGCTATTAATAAAATATTAAAATGTAGAGATTATACAAGTTTCAAAGAAGCAATAAATCAATTAATTACTTATAATTTATGTAATTATTTATTTATTTATTCCAGGTACTTTGCTAATGGTATTTGTAGAGAAGGTAGCAGCTGTCCATTCTCCCATGACCAAACGTTAGGAAGGCCAGACACCATCTGTAGATACTATCTTCAAGGACGTTGTGCTTTTAATAATCGTTGCAGGTGATTTTTTTTTTTTAAGGTGAATATTTGTAATGTAACAGTTGATTAACTTTAAATTTTTGTAGTTTTAGTTTATCATTTCAGTAGTTAAATGTTTGTAAATAAACCCTGTGGTCCAAAATCTTTCTGAAACAAAGAGTTTGATTTGTTAAGTTTTTCTAAACTGTAAAACTCTCTTACAGAATTAAGTAAGTATTCTGTTTTATATTTTTATGAAAGTATAACTGTAGCAGAAGTATTTTCATAATTAATACCAAGTTTGTTAACAAGCTGAGTAAATAAGTTTTTAGCTTTAACTTTCTACTGTACATTACTGTAGTTTTTTTCCAGGTGATGTCTATGTGAACTACAACTTCCACCAGTATTTACAACATGATCTATCATGCCAATTATTGCTAAGAGTTTAAAATTCATGCTATGTCCAAGTTCAATGCATGTTTCCCATGAAGTTTCTTCACCAGATTTTTTGATGGTAATAATAGTTTTGTATTTTTATTGACAGGTCTGTTTTTTATTCTTTGATTTTTGTTTAGTAATGCTATTGTAATTGTTTCTAAGATACCTCACCTTCACACACAGAATAGTTATATCCTTTGTACGTTTGCCTGTAAGATTTGTGTCCAAATAGCCTTGAGCTAATTTCCACCTCAAATTCACATGTTTAATATAAACTACACTGGTGCATGATGATGTCATGTGACAAAAGCCATCCACAATAGAAGGGTAAAATAACCTCCATGTGCAATAGCTCCCCTTATGCACTTGTATTCAAAATAACCTCAGACATATGAGTTCTTTAGGTTCTCACCAAAGGTTTTTCTGTCCATTTCTTTCCCCCTCTTTCTGTTTTCTTTTCTCATCCCCCCCAGCCCTTCCTATCTTTAACATCTCAAAGGTATGGTGTGAGATCTTTTGTCCAAACACACCATCAAGAAGGTTTACATCCCATCTCTGAGTTTTTTAATTTTGCTTTTTTGTGGTTCACAAGAATTTTGGGAACTAGCATCTAGTTATTCACCTCTTGTCTCTCAACTGGTTTCTGGTCATTCAATGGTTCCAGATGGAGAATTTCTTTTCTCTCCAGTGGACATTTTCATTTGAGCTATGGATGACCAAGATTTACATATTGGAAGTAACCCTATAATCCAATCCTACTGACATTTTCTATGATTTGTCCATCAGAATCGGGTCTTTCAATTCCATGCTCTTTCATTTCGCATAACCTTGACCCCTTATGTATGCAGTTGGGACATGAGGGCTTTTACTCACCACCTTCGTGGACTGGGGCTGAGATTTCTTTTATACATGGATGATTGGCTTCTACTTATCCCCTTCTCAAGAAGTTTAATTCTCTTATATGTCTCTTATTCTGCAGAAGGTTACACAACTTGGATGACTTGTCAAGCTTTTCAAATCCTTTCTCATGCTGACCCAATATTTAGTATTTTTATTCATTTTCTTCAGCATTCGTCTCAGTTGGGCTAAACCTTAGCCTGTGGACTATTGAATATCTAATCACTTAGATTTGCACTTTCATTTTCATCCTAGTTGGGAGGTTCTTTTGCTTTTGAGGACTCCGGCATACCTGGAATCACTTGTGCATCTCCTCCACTGGACCTTGCAAGATCTGTGGAATCTTTCTCGGAATCCATCATACTCAAATGAGAACCACCCTTCACACCTTGAAGAGTTGTCTTGGTGGCTGGACTGCGCCAATACCACCACCTCTGATATCCATCACAGATGCTTCCCTCTTACAGTAACCAAAATTAATTTAAGTATGTGAATAATGTAGAGGGTACAGCCAATCAAAGAATGCATTAAGCCTCTATGTCACAGAATCTCTTTTCAATTTCACCTCTGGTGAAAAAGAAAGGAAATATTTAACACATACATATATATATATATATATAATTCTCACACATTCTTTGATCCTCATCTTCATTATTTAGCTATTTTGTCTCTCTCTCTCCAGTTGACATTCTTCAATCAACCCACCATTTTTGAGATGAGTAAGTGTGTTTTCTTTTTCTCTCCTTTTCCATCTAACAGAATCTCACCAGGTGGCTGGTGTTGCCTCCCAGGGTATGTTTATTTCCACAAATCTGCAACAAGCTAGGAGTAACAGAAAGCACTCAGTCTATTTGCCCTGGCTCTATCAATGGTCACTGTTCAGGAAGGGCGATCTGCTAGATCACTAATGGTGTTCTTGTGGTATACAATACTACTCCATTACCTGATCAGCACCATACCATTCCATAGGCTATCATGCAAAAAAGCCAGCTTGATAGAAATGTCTGCCCAATTCTTTGTCTTGTGCTTGCCAGTTTTTTTTTTTTTAAATAGGGTTTCACAGTCATTCATTGCACTGGTTCCCATAAAATACCTTTCTGGAAGGTGCCTGATGGGGATCCTGACACTTTCTTGGGTCTTTCCAATGGGAATTTCCCCTTATTCTTGTAGAGCATGGGAGATCCTTGCAACTTACCAGTTCCTAGCCACTGGATTGGTGGACCTTGGAGAGATCCTCACTGATTCAGCTTAGCATCATATGGTGAGAAGTAAGACAGTGTTGTGCAGGTGACCCTTCAAAATAGCTTGTGTGCTGTCCTTCTGCAGCCTAAATCTATCCAGTTAAGTCGAGGTTGTGTGCAAGTGATCAGATGGTTATTGTTTTTAATATGCCCTTCCCTGTGACACTTGGAGCTTATTTGACTCTTCTCACTTGACATGGTCTCCCATTGGTGTGTCACACTCTATGGACTTTCCCCTTTGGGAGTTTCTGAAGAGAGCTCATCTAGCTTTCAATTTGCACTGACCCTTCCACTAGTTAAACGTGAGATTCTAGCTACCGTGTGAGTAGAGGTGTGGTATCATCTCGGAAGTTAACATTTTCCTAATCTAAAAATGTATTTCAGGTAGTTACTCACCTCCTTACACATTCCCACCTGACCTCCCCACTTCTGGTGCACTTTTTCTTTCCTTATCTAAGAATGAAGTTATTTCAAGTACAAGTGTTTAAGGGGAGCTAATGTGCATGGAAGTTATGTCACCGTCCTATTGAATAAGGCTTCTAATGGAATTTGGATAACATACAACCACAATGCCAGTAAAGCTTCTGATGGAATTTGGATAACATACAACCACAAGTATTAATAAAGCTTCTGATGGAATTTGGATAGCATGCAATCACAAGTATTAATAAAGCTTCTGATAAAATTTGGATAGCATGCAACCACAAGTATCGATAAGGCTTCTGATAGAATTTGGATAGCATGCAATCACAAGTATCAATAAGGCTTCTGATAGAATTGGGATAACATGCAACCACAAGTATCAATAAGGCTTCTGATAGAATTGGGATAACATGCAATCACAAGTATCAATAAGGCTTCTGAGAGAATGTGTGTAACATACAACCACAAGTATCAATAAGACATCTGAGAGAATGTGTGTAACATACAACAAGAAGTATCAATAAGGCTTCTGAGAGAATGTGTGTAACATACAACGAGAAGTATCAATAAGACTTCTGGTAGGACGAGATCACATTTGTTTACAAATTCCTTTTGTTTCTAGAGATTTAATTCCAGCATCAGGTGACTTCTTATTTATCAAGATCTCTGTTAATGGTGGCTCATTTTCCCACATGTGGCCCATAAAGGAGGAAACAAAAAGTTGTAGTTATTAGAATTAATTATTACGTTTAGAGCTTTGCTTCAAAAATATTTGTCTGAATGAAATGTGATTTTAATAAACATTTGAGGTACAATAATTTTTTCTTTAAATGTATCTTTAGGTATGACCACATTAACCTAAATAGATCGGTAGCTACCCAGAACCAGCCTGTTGCTAATGCCACCAATTGTCAGTCAGGAAAGTATTCAGGACACCAGTCGTCAGAATCAGTACAGGGACCAAAGCATGCTCAGTCAGTCACTCCTGGAACACCTTCTCTTGCAAACAGGAATAATGCTTCTAGTTCAGATAGCTCATTGGGTGAGTTATATAAAATGCAGTGTAGTTTTGTTATTATATTTCAGACTATATAGTATGATAAACAGGTAAGCTATCAATTCACAACATTTTAATTTAAAATTTTCTCTTTTCATCTATGTCAGATTATACCGGACAACAAAAATTTAATACTGGAGAAAACTCAAGTGATTTAGAGTAATTTGATGGTTCTGGTTTAAAAAATGTAGTCAGAATTTGTCTGACACCTCTAGATTTTGAGATTGTAATATCTCAATACAACTCAGTGCAATAGATTTATGCTGTGAAATTGAGTTTACTTGGACAGTTTAATTGGTAAATTTCATACATTTTTGATAACTTCAAACATTGACTGTATTGTATTGGTGTAAAATTCCAAATATGTTATTCATATACATTATTTGTTCTCGATATAATTGTAGCAAATAGCACCACTTTTCCTTCATTCCCATGCTCATCTGCTCCACCCGGGAATCACAAAACCCTCATGTGCTCAGTTTGCTAGGACATTCTAGAAGTCCCTCAACTGAGCATAAAAAGGGCAGAGTCAGACACCTGTCTCTCTCAGTTGCCTCTCACTCACTCATTTGGTCACTTTGCCTCACTCTGTGCACAGTCAAAACAAAGTCGATCTTCTTCTTCACATCATACCCGCGATATAATCAAATTCTGCAAAACTTTGTTTTTTCTTAAATCCTTTAAAGTCTAGATCTCTAACATAAAAATTATTTTATATTGTTTAGAAAATCATTTGAAATGTTGGCTTCCTACAGTTCAAGTAAAGTCTGAAAGTGCAAAAACACCCAAACAGTTTCTTCTACATTTGTAAAAAATATATTACAGTATCACAATGGAAAACATCACATGCAAGGTTAAGGTAGCTTACTCCCACTATTTTGGGCATAAAATTGATGACCAAGAAAAACATTGGGCTCCACATGTGTGTTGTCCAGTTTGCACATCTGGCTTGACACAATGGCTGAATAAGAAGAGAGCAAATATTGCCATTTACAGTTCCCATGATATGATGTGAGTCCAAAGATTATCTAACTGACTGTTATTTTTGCATGAGTAATGTTTCTGGATATTCAGGCAAAACTAAACAATACATTAAATATCTATATATTGCATGTGGAATTAAATCAGTACCTCATGGGGATGGTCTTCCAGTGACACATCCACCAGGGAATTGGAAAACAGAAGAGTTATCCAGCAAGAAGACTATGAATCATCTTCATCCTCTTCATCTAGTAACTCTGTTCCTGTGGCACATAAACTGCCTCATCTGCTCACACAGAAAGAGCTAAATGATCTGATTCATGACTTGTCTCTATCAAAACAGCATGGGGGAACTTCTTGGCTCTAGTTTACAGTAATGGAACTTATGAGCTCCAGGAACAAGTGTTTAAATTTACTGAAGTCGCCATCAAAGTCTTGTTTGTACTAATGCATGCAAGATACTTTGTATTTCTGAACAAATGTTCATACACTAATGGAAGAATTAGGTACTGAACATCATCCTCAAGAATGAAGACTTTTATTGACTCATCTAAAGTTAGTGTGAAAGATGTACTTTTGCACAATGGGAACATTAAGCCATTGATTCCTGTTCCTCATGCTGTGAATGAACAGGAAAGAAACTTATAAAAGTGTGCAGATTATACATTCTTAAATGTTATTTTTAATGAATAAAGTTATTGAAGAAAAAATTATTTTCTTGATATATAAGAATATTTTGAACAAATCTATCATATCTCGAAAAGAAGAGATGGTCCATAATTTTCAACATGATTTTTAGAATCAACATCGTTAAGTTACTCAGAAACAGTTACATTTTTTTATAGTAGCAGATAAAAAAGATTTTGTGCCCAGTGTTACATTCTAGATTTAAAATATTTTTATGATACATTATTTGGTACTGAATCAGTGACTCTTATGTAAGCTCTACTTTGGTGGCAAATTTTATTGTTCACGTTGCTACAACATTCTTTCTGATTACTGCTTCTGCTATTATTGGACTTTTTTGCCTTCATTGGAGGCTCTGTTTTTGAAAGCTGCCTCTAGCATGCAGGCTCACATCACTGATACATTTTCAACAGCAACAGTTTTAATGGTTTTCAAATAAGACCCAAAATCCGAGCGCTTTCGAATAGTTTACTATTCTTCTTCAGGAGAATAAAGAAGAAAGCGCTCGAGTTTTGGGTCTCATTTCAAAATTGTTACAACTCTTGTATGTGATCCTGTGTGCTAACTTCCTAATCAGAAGCAATAGTTTCATGTATTCCTGTAATTATATACTGATATTATTGATGGGTATATCATTTCTGGGGATGCTTCGTTTGTGTAACACTTGTTGTTTTTCTTTGTTTGATGAGTCTTTTTTTTTTTTTGTTCTGATCTCATTACCATCTGTGTGTGTGTGTGTAGAGCTGGATTTGTTTGCTACAGTGCTAGCCCTAATCCTGAACACTTTTGCTGGTCTCAGTTTCTTTTGTTCTCAGATATTTTCACTATTGAACCTATTTCAGTTTTGTCTTAGGGCAATTCTTTCATGTGAGGTGATTTCTACATGTGATTTTTGTTATTTCTCCCACTTTGTTTGATTCTGGAGTTTGGATTGAATTTGAAAACTAGCTCTGTATTCATACTGCATGCTGTGATTTTGTAAGTTTGAAATATATTTCTGTATCATTATTGGTTATCCCTGTTCACCTGATAATATTTTACTCAGGATCTCAATGTCTTATGTTCTGTCAAAAAACTGCTTCATTCATTGTTTCCCATTCAAGAAAAGCTTACCAGAGTTCTAGAGTTGTGTGCTAATGTTTTGTTACATCTACTCATACATCTAGTGTAGTGTTCTCCATCAGATCAGTGGTAAGTTTACAGACTTCCACCACTACAATCTGAGGTTGGGTCACTTATGATATGTAGAGCTTATTGTGTAGCTTGTTGCTCAAATACTTAAACAACTAGCATCAATGTAAGCAAGATGAGCCCTTATCACTCACTTCGTAACACAATTCTGGATGATTCCTCCTCGTGGACTTTTGGAGGGTCATCTAAGAAATTTTTTATCTATAGGACTGTTTGCTACTTGTTTATTTGGTTTATTGATTCTTCAGTTTGATTTAATGTTCCTCATTCATGATATACCTCTTCCAGTTCCTGTTCAATTTGTGATCTGGAGGTTTCAGATACATACAACAAGAGATTGGAGACTGGCCATAAATCTTTCCTCTAGTCTCATTTGTTTCCCCAATATTCCTTCTTACTGGATGGAACTTACTTCAATCTAATGATGGTTTCTTCCCCTACAGTTTTTGAATGACAATTGGAGTTTCCCATGACTTATTTACACCTATGGCTTCACCGTTTTTAATTTTTCACGTGATGTAATATTTTTTCCATTTCTAAACCTTCACTTTTGGGCTGGATTAGGCACTATGTAGTTACACATGTAGTCACACCTTTAATTTGTTTCCTACACACAGTCTTTATCAATTATCATCCTTACATGGATTATTAGAGGATTCATGAACAGTGGTTCGCTCACACCGATTTGTCCTCCTAGTTTGCTTCAGCTCTGGGTTCGACTGTTCATGAGTCCATGTTTCAGCTTATGCCTATGCTATATCTTGTTCCTCTTAGATTGTGTATTATCACTCTCTCTTGAACTTTTTGCCAGTTTCAGGTGTGCATACCTTTCTGTTTGTCAGATATATCCTCTTTGGTTTGGGAATGATGACTTTTCTCTAAGTGGCATTTTCCATGGATAGGGGGGACTTGTTATTTTTAGGATGTGTAGTCTTTTTAGATAGCCCATTCTCACATTATTACGTTTCAAGATTTGAATTGATCCAGATGTATGTTGAGAGTTCCTACCCTTGTGCTATGTTCATTTACTGAGCTGGTATTTTGTGGATTGTGCCAATAGTTTGGTTGTCGTCTTTTTGATGCATTCGTGATGGCTATGTATCATTGTCTGGTGCTTTGCTGGTTTCCTGATCCAGCTTCACTATTGGTGGATGCTTTGAGTCTATGAAGGAAAAAAAACAACTTGTCCTACCCTCTTAATATTCTTTCTTGAGTATTGCCAAAGATACAGTTGGTCCCATTGTCTAATTCTTGTTTCCCAGGCTGGCCTGCTTCACCATGTTTTCCATTCCTCTTGTATATCGTAGAAGAATCCTATTCCATTGCTTTTGCTACATTTTCGATAGTGACTTTTGTTGTCTCCAGCTTCGTGGCTGGCTGTTACGCAGTTCTTTGATTGTAAAGTTGGGTCCTCCTTATGAATAGCTAGAAAACATTCCTCTTTGGTAGTCAATCATTATTGTTGGTCCTTTTAGAATTGATACCTACAGAGTTGGGATTTTATATTTCTTCAACTCATTCACAGCTTGCCTGATTTTTTTGGTGCATTTCTTTCAGTATCTGAACTTGTCTGTTTATCTTGCACTTTAAGCCAGTTTCTGTTGCTACAAAAGTTGAGTCTTTGTATTTTGTATTCTTTGTCTCTGTAGAGGCCATTGCACCAGTGACCAGGGGGACGAATGTATGTGCGTATATTTTGCCATTTTTTTGTTTCCATCACATCATTGTATCTTCAGTTTCAGGAATCTATTTATCAATTCGAGTTCTTCTCCAGTCTCAGTGAAATCTACCTCTGATGCATTTTTGTCTTTTCTGCCCAACACTCATGGTTATCCTCTTCCAAAGTGTCTGGGGTTGTGAATACATTTTATTTCCAAACATACAAAACAAGAAATATTATATACAGTATATTCTTATATATTGAGAGTCTATTTATATCAGTTTGTCCAGGTAGGACCTTGCATGTTCTTTTATCTCTGTGTTTGTCCTAGATACTCTTTCTAATAATACCCTGTGGTTGACATATTTCATTACAATTTTTCCTTCTATATTGAAATGCGTATTTCTGTTGGTTCGTCTTGTCTGAATTTGTCTTAAGAAATCCAAGTATTGCCAACCTGTGTTCT